GTCATAAGGCAACTTGAAGGCAAACCACCTTCTCTCGGCCACAGAGGAAGGCAAAGGCAGATCCCCTCTGAATAAATTCTTCCAATAAATCCTTATGATAGTTTTGCATTGGGTTGGAAATAATCTGAAGGCCAACACCACCAGGAACAATAATGATATGTGTTTAGTTTTTTTTGTCACAGGTTTTTTTCAGTATAAAAGGTAAAGGTTTTCCCCGACATTAAGTCTAGTCGTGTCTGATTCTAGGGGAGGTGCTCATTTCCATTTCTAAGCTGAAGAGCCAGCATTGTCCATAGACACCTCCAAGGTCATGTGACCAGCATGACTGCCAGAAGTGCCATTACCTTCCCACCAAAGCGGTATCTATGGATCTACTCACTGAAACACAACACCACCTGAGCTCTGCGAGAGCAGCATTTTTCTGAAGCAGAGAGTGTTTGAGGACCGGGACATCTGTAGGGATACCAAAGTGCTTATTCATAGAGCTCTTGTCCTCCCAACCCTGCTATATGCCTGTAAGACGTGGACTGTCTACAGATGTCACATGCAACTCCTGGAACGATTCCATCATCGCTGCCTCCGGAAAATCCTGCAAATCTCTTGGGCGGACAAACGTCAGCGTGCTGGAAGAAGCAAAGACCACCAGCATTGAAGTGATGGTCCTCCGCCATTAACTCCGCTGGACCAGCCATGTAGTCCGGATGCCCGACCACCGTCTCCCAAAGCAGTTGCTCTACTCTGAACTCAAGAATGGAAAACGGAATGTTGGTGGACAGGAAAAGAGATTTAAAGATGGGCTCAAAGCCAACCTTAAAAACTCTGGCATAGACACTGAGAACTGGGAAGCCCTGGCCCTTGACTGCTCCAGCTGGAGGTCAGCTGTGACCAGCAGTGCTGCAGAATTTGAAGAGGCCTGAATGGAGGGCGAAAGGGAGAAGCATGCCAAGAGGAAGGCGCATCAAGCCAACCCCGACTTAGACCGCCTTCCACCTGGAAACCAATGTCCTCACTGCAGAAGAAGATGCAGAGCAAGAATAGGGCTCCACAGCCACATGCGGACCCACAAGAATACTGAAAGACAATCCTCCTCAGAAAACGAGGGATCGCCTAAGTAAGACCCCAGATATACAAAATAGGTATAAAAATCAAACATTTTCTGAAAATAAATCAGCATTTGCAAGTGTTGCTAAACAGGCTGAATTTTTCCTTTATGAAGAACAGCTGAAGCATTTCCTGCAAAGTCCACTATTAACACTGCAGTTATTGCTAGCAGATTGTGAAATGCCTAAAACAGTCACTAGGAGGCATTCAGAAACTGTTACTGTTTACACATTTTTCATCACCCCATTAGCAGCAGCACCAGGCATTCCTTGGCGGTGATATCAAATTAATAAATTGATAAAGTATGTACTGCAGCGGGGAGTCCTGTAGGTAGCAGTAGCCTGAAGTTTTGTTTATCGGTCCTGCAAACGTTCAAAGGAATGGAAGAGCCCAGCAGCAGCTACCAGCGATACATCTTGCAACAATCTTTTCCCTTTTTGACTATTAGTGAATTACAAAGTAATCCTCCAATAAACGTGCACCATGGTGCGTTACCTTCTACACCTGATTCTATGTATCTTATTTTACTTCTGTGTCTTTCTCTTCCCCTTTCGTCTCTGGCAGCCAGCCCCAGTAACCACTCTGACAGTCTTCTTCCCTCTACCCCAACTAACCCCATACCAACTCTCATCCCCATGGACACCCCGGTTCCTCCGGCTGGGAGCCTTAGTATCCACAGATCCCCATTTGTGTACGTATTTAATGTGGTATATTTTATATCTTCATAAAAAACCCATTTTAGAGTATGAAGCCATCCAGCAAGACCTTGGTGACCTTTCACCAGCACCTCTTGACCCAGGAATTCCCTCCAGCATTTTTCCTAGACATCATCTCTCTGCAAAGGACTCAGGCACCTATCATCTCAGGCCCAATCCATCTCTACTGGCCACATAAACCCAGCTATGCATAGGACAACAGGATCCTGATGTGGGACCATCTTTCCTTTCCAAAGCTACCTGGACTTGACAAAAGACACCTATCACCTGGCATTTTCTTCCCTGATACCGGGATTGCCTCACTTTCCACAATGACATTTCCCCTTTCCCAGGACTGGATTTGCTAATCCTATCACCTTGAACAATATGGACTACTATGGACATGGGCATCATTGGTGCCCGACCCACCTCAATGGGTCACTCACAAATGAAAAAAGGAACATTCAATAGAACCTGGTAGTCCCTCTTTGTTTTGTCCCTCTAGTGGGACAACGGTAATCTTCTCAGAACACTTTACACTCCTTTTTCTGGGTGACCATCATGCCCCTTGTCAGCCATTGGAAAGCGGGAATCTGCATTCAAAGTGAGGAACACTCTCTAATTGGCTGGTAGATGCTACAGTCCTGCCTCCTGGGAAACCTTCTAGCTGGCCATGACCTCAATGCTGGCTCCACCAATCAGCACAAAGCCAGCTCCAGCTGCGGCATGAGCGAGAAAAACAAAGGATTTGAATGTTTTAAAATGTATGCTTTGCTTGTAAAAGGGATCTCAGATTCCTTTAGTGCAGTGGTTCTCAACCTGTGTCCCCCCAGATGGTTTTGGCCAACAACCCCCAGAAATCCCAGCCAGTTTACCAGCTGTTAGGATTTCTGGGAGTTGAAGGCCAAAACATCTGGGGACCCACAGGTTGAGAACCACTGCATTAGCGGCTTACTGCAAGCTGTCATCTCTTCCAGCGAGATTGAAATAAAATACCTCTGTGGCTTCCTCTTCAACTTAGGACCCTTCCACACAGCCCTATATTCCAGAATGTCAAGACAGAAAATCCCACAATATCTGCTTTGAACTGGGTTATCTGACTCCACACTTAGACAATGTGGGAATTTCTGTTGTGATATTCTGGGATATAGGGCTATGTGGAAGGGCCCTTAGTTTTCTTGTGCCCTGTGTCTAGACAGGAGTATTCATTGTCTCATATAATCCAGTTTAAAGCAGAAAAACTGGGATCAGATCCTGGGATATAGGGCCTGTCTCTGGGCCCCTTCCCTACAGATGTATTGTGGATTATATTCCTTGCCATTCTGGGGGCCCTTCCACATAGCTCCATATTCTAGAATATCGAGGCAGACAATCCCACAATATCTGCTTTGAAATGGGTTATCTGAGGCCCCTTCCACACAGCTGAAAAAAAACCCCACATTATCTGCTTTGAACTGGAATATATGGCAATGTGCTCAGATAACCCAGTTCAAAACAGATCCTGTGGGATTTTCTGACTTGATATTCTGGATTATATGGCTGTGTGGAAGAGTCCTGGAATAAACAGAAAACCTGGGATCAGGTCCTACGATATAGGGCTTGTCTGGAAGGGCTCAAAATTAAACAGAGGCGCTTTCTACATTGCCTTATTATTATTATTATTATTATTATTATTATTACTACATTTATGCCCCGCTTTATCTCCCCAAAGGGGACTCAAAGCGGCTTGACATAAAAAGATTAATATACAATTTAAAACAGACAAAAAGGCAAACATTAAAACAGAATTAAACACAAGCAGCATTTAAAAAGATCAGTTAAAATTCACCAAAACAGTTTAAAAGCTTATCAAAGCAGATATCCACATTATTTGCTTTTGAGCTGGATTAGATGAGTCTGCACTGCCAGATAATCCAATTCAAAGCAAATAATCTGGATTTTATGTGGCTGTGTAGAAGGGGCTTGCATCAGTGTGAACTCAGATTTGTTGTTCATTCATTCAGTCGTCTCCGACTCTTCGTGACCTCATGGACCAGCCCACGCCAGAGCTCCCTGTCGGCCGTCACCACCCCCCGCTCCTTCAAGGTCAGTCCAGTCACTTCAAGGATGCCATCCATCCATCTTGCCCTTGGTCGGCCCCTCTTCCTTTTGCCTTCCACTTTCCCCAGCATAATTGTCTTCTCTAGGCTTTGCTGTCTCCTCATGATGTGGCCAAAGTACTTCAACTTTGTCTCTAGTATCCTTCCCTCCAATGAGCAGTCGGGCTTTATTTCCTGGGGGATGGACTGGTTGGATCTTCTCGCAGTCCAAGGCACTCTCAGAACTTTCCTCCAACACCACAGCTCAAAAGCATCATCTTCCTTCGCTCAGCCTTCCCTAAGGTCCAGCTCTCACATCCGTAGGTTACTACAGGGAATACCATGGCTTTGACTAGGCGGATCTTTGTTGCCAGTCTGATGTCTCTACTCTTTACTATTTTATCGAGATTGGACATTGCTATCCTCCCAAGAAGTAAGCGTCTTCTGATTTCCTGGCCACAGTCTGCATCTGCAGTAATCTTTGCACCTAGAAATACAAAGTCTGTCACGGCCTCCACGTTTTCTCCCTCTATTTCCCAGTTGTCAATCATTCTTGTTGCCATAATCTTGGTTTTTTTTATGTTTAGCTGCAACCCAGTTTTTGCGCTTTCTTCTTTCACCTTGATTAGAAGGCTCCTCAGCTCCTCCTCGCTTTCGGCCATCAGAGTGGTGTCATCTGCATATCTGAGGTTGTTAATGTTTCTTCCAGCAATTTTCACCCCAGCTTTGCATTCATCAAGCCCCGCACATCGCATGATGTGTTCTGCATACAAGTTAAAAAGGTTGGGTGAACTCAGATAACCTAGTTCAAAACAGATATTGTGGGATTTTCTGTCTTGATATTCTGGGATACAGGGCTGTGTGGAAGGGCCCTGAGTCCACACACATACAATATGGGATTTTCTGCCTTGATATTCTGGGATATAAACAGAAAACCTGGGATAGGGCTGTGTGGAGGGGCCCTTCGAAGATCAGAGTGGACCTGGATCTTTAAAGTCCCAATGGAGTCATCCTAGCCAGTGGGAAAGAACCCTGGCCAAGGCGCATGCGCAAAAGAGACTTGGCGAGGAGATCGCTCTTTGGAAGGCAAAGAGGCAGTGATGTCGTCACTTCCGGCCGCGGCTGCTCTGGATCCGGGGCTGAGCGGAGGCTCGGCCGTAGGGATGACCTCCTGCAAGCAGTTCCGGCGCACTTCCGCAAGGCCCCGCCTTCTTTCCCCTTTCTCTCCAGAGAGTGGGGAAGGAAGGAAGGCAGGGAAGGAGGCCGAGGGCTTGGGGACGCGCTGGGCCGGCCGAGTAAGTGAAGGGGACCTCGGGGGCCAGGGAGGGAGGGGAGCGTTCGAAGGCCTGGCGCTACGCCGGCGCTCCTGGGCCGGTTTCCAAGGGAACGGCCTCCGCTCCGAGGGCCCTGCCAGGGCCAAGGCCGACTCCCGGCTCATTGTGAAGCTCCCGAGTGAGCAGAAGGTGGGGATGGATGCTCTAGAACAGGCATGGGCAAACCTGGGCCTTCCCTCCAGGTGTTTTTGAACTTCAGCTCCCACAATTCCTAACAGCGTCAGGCCCCTTTCTCTCTCTCTCTCTTTCTCTCTCTCTCTATAGACTCACGGGAGTTATGTTTTTACAGGTTCATATTCATTTATTTATTTACTTCAAACGCTAGCCGTCCCCTGCCACGCGTTGCTGTGGCCCACATGGAGGTTCTGTGTGGGAGGTTTGGCCCAATTCTGTCGTTGGTGGGGTTCAGAATGCTCTGTGATTGTAGGTGAACTATAAATCCCAGCAACTACAACCCCCAAATGTCAAGAATCTATTTTCCACAAACTCCATCAGTATTCACATTTGGGCATATTGAGTATTCGTGTAGAGCAGTGTTTCTCAACCTGGGGGTCGGGACCCCTGGATGGGTCGTGAGGGGGTGTCAGAGGGGTCACCAAAGACCACCAGAAAACACAATATTTTCTATTGGTCATGGAGGTTCTGTGTGGGAAGTTTGGCCCAATTCAATCGTTGGTAGGGTTCGGAATGCTCTTTGATTGTAGGTAAGTAAATCCCAGCAATTACAACTCCCAAATGTCAAGGTCTATTTTCTCCAAACTCCACCAGTGTTTAGACTTGGGCATATTAAGAATTGGTGCCAAGTTTGGTCCAGATCCATCATTGTTTGAGTCCACAGTGATCTCTGAATGTAGGCGAACTACAACTCCAAAACCAAAGGACACTGCCCATCAAACCCTTCCAGTATTTTCTGTTGGTCATGGGAGTTCTGTGTGCCAAGTTTGGTTCAATTCCATCGTTGGTGGGTTCAGAATGCTCTTTGATTGTAGGTGAACTATAAATCCCAGCAACTACAACTCCCAAATGACAAAATCAATTTTTTTGAGTGAAGGACATACATTGGGTTGTTAGGTGTATTGTGTCCAAATTTGGTGTCAATTCGTCCAGTGGTTTTTGATTTCTGTTAATCCCAGAAACGAACATCACGTTTTTATTTATATAGATTTGTACCCCACCCTTCTCAACTCTGGGATGGGGGGAACCTCAGGGCAGCTTATATCCGGCACAATTCGATGCCATTACATATAAATAATATATACAGTAATTACATATAAAAACACAGTAAATTAATTTTAAAATTAGTTTTAAAATAAAAAGTTACATTAATAAAAAGTTCAATAATACTGGCTGTCTTACCTTATGTATAAACAAATTCCACGAGCACAACACAACACAATCGGAAGCCAGTCCATTTTCCATAACATTGTCATCATTACCATTGTCAGTTATCTGCCAGCCTGGTCCCATAACCACATTTTCAGTTTCCTCCTGAAGGCGAGGAGGGATGTTGTTGACCTGATTTCGCTGGGGAGCAAGTTCCTCAGGCGGGGGGGGGCACCACCGAGAAGGCCCTGTCCCTTGTCCCTGCCAAGCGTGTTTGCGCCAGAGACAGGGCCGAGAGCAGGGCTTTCCCAGAAGGTCTTAAACTTCAAGGTGGGACATAGAAGGAGATACGTTCGGACAGGTAAGCTGGGCCAGAGCTGTATAGGGCTTTATAGGTCTAAACCAGCACTTTGAATTGTGCTCAAAATTGGGCTGGCAGCAAGTGGAGTTGAAATAACAGAGGGGTGGTATGCTCTCTGTATGACGCTCCAGTGGTCTATCTGCTGCCTGTTAGACTAGTTGACGTTTCTGAGCAGTCTTCAAGGGCAGCACCACGTAGAGTGCATTGCAGTAATCTATTGTCAAACCGCTGTCATTCTGCATAATAGTGGATCATCCCTCAAGTCTATGGCCTTTTTAATGAGTTTGCTTTCATAAAGTTTTGTTTCTCAAAATCTGGTCTCCCAATTGTTTTGGACTTCAACTCCCAGAATTCCTGATCATTGTGCAAACTGGCAGGGGCTTCTGGGACATGAAAAACCAAAACTGCAAAGGAATAGTTTGCTGTATGACTTACTTCACAAAATAATAATAAAAATAATTTTATTTCTTACCCACCTTTCCTCATGTATGCAGCTTTCCATCTACTCTGTGTTTCTCGAGGTGGGAGGCCACATGATCAGATCTGGGACTGCTCAGATCGCAGACTCCATTTTAGAACGCAGAGACACTATTAGACTTTGGATTGTTATGAGCAAATTCATATTGCTGTTGATTATAAGAAAGATGTCCTGTGTTATCTGAACAGAGAAACTACTTCAAATCCTATCTGTAATCTTATTGACAAGTTATGTACCTGTATGCGGAATACATGAAGGTTGTGAGTAAACCAGATATGCTACCTTTAAATGAAGTCTACTTGGGAGTGGGATATAGAAACAAGATGTTTATGGGAGAGTAGGTGTTTTGGGGCACTGAAAAGAACTGCTATATTTTGTGCATAATAAATCGGAGACAACTAGGTTATCAGTCTAACAACTGAAAACCAGATTGCCTTGCAGAAGTACATGTGGTTATATTCCACTAAAGAGATTTTACTCAAATGGATTTTTGGCTGTTTTTCTGGAAGACCATACTTTTACAAAAGGTTATGATTTTCAAATGGTTGTGAATGCTATTTTTCTCCAAAAGGTTATGGAGATTCTGGTTTTCCAAAAGGTTCTCTAAAAGGTCATGCCTTTCCAAAAGTATCTCTATGGAATGCGTATTGAAACAAGTGAAACAGAGATCAAACCAAGAAAATGCACTCAAATTCATGTTTAAATACTGTCTGGGTAGACAGGTCTTCACTTGTGTTTTAAATTCCGACAGCTGATTTAGCTGTCAGCTCTTCCTGCAGGTTGTTCCACAGCCAAGGAGTGGCTGAAGAAAAGGTTGTTTGGGTGGTGGTTGCCAGTTGGGTTCTGGCTGGTTAGAGCAGATGCCCCTCAGAAGACCAAAGTGTGTGGGGTGGACTGTATGGGGGAAGGTAATCCTTTAGGTTACCTGGACCCAAACCATGTAGGGCTTTAAAGGTCAAAACCGTCACCTTGTACTTTGCCCTGAAACTAATTGGAGAAATGCCTCGGACACATGGCTCGATTCGGCTTCAGCTCCCAGAGTCTCTGACCATTGGCCTTGGTGGCTGAGGTTTCCGTGAGCTGAAACCCAATACACCCAGTGGACTGGGTTATTACATCATTTATTCCAGATGTGCCAATTGGGTTGGGAAAACGTCATGTCTTAGATGATGTCATGTTTTTGTGAAAGTTTGTCCATTACTGTTAATGGGTAGTAGCAGGTGGTTTACAAATTCTGTGGTTGCTTTTATTATTTTTTTTTAAAAGCTGTATGAAATGTGTGTGTTATGGATATTGATGTCTAACATTGTTGGTGCAGGTAGCATAGAGTGTCTATGAATGACAGCTAGGACCATTTGAAGAGGGGATCGCTATTTATGCATTGTCACATACACATACACACACACACACGTATGCATACGTAATTGAAACAAGGGGCAACTATGAGGGGCATACAAGATACAACTTGCCTTGTTGATAGTGAATACTTGTCTGATAAACAATACTGTAATTTGTTTAAAAATATCAAATTGGCCTTTCTTGGAAAAAGAAAGCTACCCTGAATGTTATGGAAAAACCCTCATTGGGAGAGAAAGCTTTTTGAAAAAGTGGTGGTGGTGAGGCACTTTACTCCCTCTTCATTTCAGTTCTTTTTGGGGAGACCCAACAAGGGGGTGTTTCTCCAAATTGATCGTTCTGGGGAAGGGTAGCACATGTGTATAACGAACAGGATAAGAGAAGAAGTGTGTCTCTTCTGAATTAGAACAAAGTGCCAGGCACGCCTTCCTGCTGTTTTCTGCAAAAAGTGGGCAGAAGGAAAGAAGAAGTTTCATTGCTCTTCTCTGTCTTCTTTTTACAAGAAGCAGTAGTAAGGCATGGCTGTCATTTATGTAAGAATTTACTCCCTTTCCCCCAGTTTCTTATGGGGTGCGGTAGTTTTCCGTAAACGAAACACAGCTGACACTGCTGTAGCTCATAGGAGCAACACTGTCCACTTTCCTTCAGGAAAGAGGGGAAGGAATGCTGTGGGTTTTTTCCCTTATGTAATTCTTCACTGCTTCAAAAACCTTCAAAAGAGAAACAGGCAGTTCATTTTAAATACAGAGTGCTTGTCGGAGATAAAGAATGGCTTCTTCCAATGGCAATTTAAAGAGTCAACAGCACCGTCTTTTCTGAAAAACAACTATATCCAGGAGAGGAAACATCTTATCTCTCCAGAGAACATGGAGACAACAGTAGTAGTGGGCTTGCTTCTCCCCTTTTCATCAGCAATCAACAGCACCATAAGATATAAATTGGGCTAAAAAAGCACTAGGAAGAATATAAGAAGAATTGTAGTTGATCATATTACAGCCCTATATAGTTCAGCATCTAGTATTCCATATTGGCCAATTGTATATTTTTAAAAACCTACAATCAGGACATGATGGGTGTATGTGACTTCCTAGATCATGGGCAATACATTGCTCAAACAGTTGCAGGGAGCTGACAGTCAGAGGAAGCTATTATCCTCAAGACTAATACCTATTCGTGGCTTTGTTCTCTATGAATGTCCTCATCCCTCTTGACTATTTTTTTCTGAATTTAAAATGTCTCTGGTGCCATCATAAAATTGTTGTCATTTTTCAACTCTACATTTACTTTGAAAAATAAAAATGTAGGTTTAGCATCTCAAATACTCCAAAATCATTTCCATGGGTGGCTGAGATAAAGACACATTCGCTTTTTGATGCTTCAACCTTTGTTTCCTGCACAAAATTATTTTGAAATATTGTATAAAATCACTTTCAGGCTATGTGTATAATGCATATATAAAACATAAGTGAATTTTGTGTTTAGATCTCCAAGATATGTTATTATGTATGGATATGCAAATACAGGTATTCCAAAATAAAATTCAAAATCAAAGCACTTCTGGCGCCAAGCATTTCAGTTAAAAGATACCAATTTATACTATATGCAGTCTAGTTGAAAAGTGTCCTGATACTATAGATTAAAATATTAGCAATATTGACAGTTCAGTTTATAATGATTGTAGTTCAAATTTATAAAAGTGGCAAATTGCTGGTTTGTTAGCCTAATGTCTGTCCTCTGCCAAGTGGTGGAAAACATGATTTAAGCTAGATACAGTCTCAACAGCCTTTTGAAGTTTTGGAGCATCAACAAGTGGGGCTGATCTGGAAACCCTTTGTTAAAGTTAACCTTGAAAAGCTACTGAGCAAACTTGACAGCTGTTTAAAAAACTACTTAAAGAATCAGTTGTTAGTTAAACACCAAGGAAAGAGAGGTATAAACAAATTTCTCACAGTAAAGGGAGCTAGACAGGAAGGTATGGAAAGAAATGGTATTGAAAGTTTGCTTCTTGGATTTTTTTTGGGAGATTAATTTCAAGCTGTGATGCCTAAATCTGTAGATTCAGAACATGTGGATACAGAGGGCAGACTGTATATACAGAGAAGTGATATTCTGACGACCTCATCACACTAGAGAATGAATCCACTTTAAATCTGATTTCTGCCTCCTGCAGAATTCTGGGGTTTGTAATTTAGTGAGGCTGCTAAAGGCTCCAACCCTAAACTACAAACCTCAGAATTTTGCAGAAGGTAGCAACCATTTTTAAAGTGAATTCAATCTCTAGTGTGATGAAATAGTGAGTGCATCTGATTTGCCTGAAATTAAAATTATATTAGTGTACTGTTTTGTGGTATAAACTTTCATAAGTAAGCAGTATGAGTGGATATTTTTAGTTCATCAGTTTCAGGTTTTCTAAAATATTTTCTGTAGGTAGAAGAATACATGTTTACTTTCGGCATAGAAGAGCATGTTCCCAAATTCTTCGAACTTGGGGCGTCCACCCTTTCCTCTAGAACACCAACAATACTTCATTAATCTTCCAGTGAACATACCTCCTGTTGTTGTTCACCAGCAGTTCCATAGTCCAGCGTAAGTACGATGGAACTTTAATATGAAGTTTGAATGATTTGTCCCATAAAGATTGAATGACTGGTGTTTTTGTGTTTGATATTGATATTACATGAACTCTTGTAGATAAGTAATTTAATGGCCAAATTGGCTTTTAGGATCTCTTCTTCTATTTGTATAATCTTCTATAAGGTAATTGAAGAAAGTTTTAAGACTGTGAAGTGCTTAAACTGTGTGATTGTTCATGTTTTGAAAAACCTTCAGTAATAGCATGAGTGATGATACCATAATTTAATTTTCCTAGATCCCTGTTGAGTCGCAATCTTGCAAGCATCCCACCTGTTTCACCACTACCCTTTGCCTATAGAAATGGCAGCCCGGTGCATACATCAGCTGCACCTACATCATTCAGAGGCAGAAAGTAAGTGCTTTTTATGTATTCTGGTGTGTAAGATAAATCTTGTTATGACATGGTGTTTAGAATAGAATGCAGTCGGCCCTCCATATTTTCTGGGGTTATGAGCTCAGGACCCCCACAAAATTTGAAAACCGGTGGTAAAACCACTATTGTTTTACTTGAGAAAATTCTCAAGTATGCAACTCTGCAGTCACTTTCTGCTGGAGTTTGACCACAGAATCACACTGGAGGACCGACAAATACTTAGGAGAGTGTTTTCTCTAGGAATATCTAGGCTCTGCAGTGCAACTCCATTGTAGAAAATTGAACCCAGCGGTTTTTGGGATTTCTGGAAGTACCAATCTGTGATGTCTGGGTTTAGCCCTGATTGCCAAACCTAACCAACAGGAGCCAGTTATTATGAAATCCTGATAATTATAGTTTTATAGGCTCCATAGCTTACTCTGCTAAAGAGTACTGGTGCCTCACCAAACTACAGTTCCCTTGATTCCATAGCAATGAGCCAATGTCAAGCTGCATTCATTCTACACTGCAATTTTGAAAGCCAAGATCACTATGAAGGAGAAATGATTGGAAAAACAAAGTATTGATATCATGAAATTGCGGTATTCCTAATGTTTCATTTATTGAAAAGAAATCACCATGCCAAACTCATGAAGCAGGATTTTGGGAGAGAAATGTCTATACTTAGTAAGAGATTCCTCATAGGAATGTCATTGAAGCAATTCAACATGATCAAATTTGATCTGATCCCATGTGTTTCCCTCTGCTTTCTCCCGTTTCAACACAAATGATAACCTCAGAAGATGATTTATCTCTGTCTCTGCCCCCAATTTCTAAACACTTTTTAAAAAGTTCCTTGACAAAGCATCATGGACAACAAGCAGAAGTCTGTTTGTATTGTTTGATGAGCTCTGTGATGCTTTGAGAGAGAACTGTTTAGAAACCGGGAGGGGGAGATTGTATGTGATGAAGTCCTAGAACAGGCCTTTTCAGCCTGTGGCCATTTAGGTGTTTTGGAATTAAGGTCCCAGAATTCCTGACCATTGAACAAGCTGGCTAGGGCACCTAGGAGCTGGAGGCACAAACACCTGGAGGGCTGCATGTTGAAAAGGCCTGATCTAGATACACACATAGACTGTAGCTCTTCTGTTACCATTTAGGGGTTAGGTTGCCATAATGACCTCTCTCTGAACTACAGTCTAGTAATCTTCTTGCTATAGGAAGTTGGCTGAAATAAGATTTCTGTAAGTGTGACAGAACTTTTTGCCAGTATTCCCAGAGCTGAGAGTAAATGAACTAACATAAATATTGCACAGGTCAAATTCTGTTCATTATACATGATGCAGTTCTAAAAGAAATGAAGCCATGGTTTTGAAGGTTATTACGAAAACATTTTGGAATACAGGTTGACTACAACTGCATTAATCTTTAAATATCGCCAAATGAAATAGAGGTTCTTTTTTGCCCAGATGAAATACTTTATTGTCTGTACAGTCTAAACCTACACAGACAGATTCTAGATTTTGAATGGCTTTTGTGATAAGTTTTTCAGTCTCTTCCCTCTTCCTTTATCATTGGGTAGACAATGCACACAACTTCTCACTGCAGCATTTTTTTAAAGATATATTGCTATTCTTTTAAACAGGGGGTACAGGAAAAAAAGGTTGATTTACTCTGCATGAGAATGCATTGGCAGATTTCAGTTCTGGGTAGCTCAGCTCAGCATTTCGCTTAAAAAGATTACTACACAATCTGGCTAAAAAGGGTCACTGTGCTCAAATGGCATTTTTAGTGTTGTTTCAATTAGCATGTGGTTTCCCTTGCTTTGAATCACCGGCTTTTCTTTTACATTCTTTAGGAGGCTGAAAGAACAAAATGTTTCTTATGAAGCCAAGCGCCAGCGATTTCATTCACCTCACCATGAATTAACTTCAGCTAACCAAGTAGTGCCTTTGCCAGAAGATCACAGGCGGTCATTCCCTGGATCTATTTCTTCGCCATTATTTCAAGCACACTTCATCTCTGACTTGACAGGATGTGTGCCACCCTTACAAGAAGCTTCCTTTCCCGAGCCCATAGAAACTGCACTCCCTGTGGCCAAAGATAAGGTAAGATGGATTAAAGACTCTGTGTTCATTTTTCTTGTAGCTCTGTTTTCTCTGTAAATCAGTAATTCCCAAACGGGGTGTTGGATTTAATAGTGTAGCTGAAGTCTGCCAAGAAAAACTGAACAAATATTATAGAGCAGCCACCACACTGACTCACAGAGTAGGGAGGATCTATGCTTTATTGGAATCTATTTTCATCCCTATCTGTCAGTATAAGAACAATTGCATCATTTTGAGTTGGGAAAAATTAAACAGCAGCAATATAGTGCTGCGTTAGAAAGATATAAGGGACATCTCTGACCCATCACTACTTATAGTGAGGTGAAGTCATTAATTGTAGTGGGTATTTATTTTAATTTTAGGTTTCCTTTCTTCAAAAATGGCACCCATGGTGACTCAAAGGTAAAACAATAGAATTTTTAAAGAACAATTAAAAACTATATACACAAACATATACAAAAATGAAAAACATAAGAAACAGAGCTTGGAACTCAGTTTCTGTCCTGTGAGTAATTACATGTTTGTTTGTTTTTTTATGTCAGGAGCAACTTGAGAAACTGCAAGTTGCTTCTGATGTGAGAAAATTGGCCGTCTACAAGGACGTTGCCCAAGGGACACCAGGATGCTTTACCATCCTATGGGAGACTTCTCTCATGTCTCTGCATGGGAAGCTGGAGCTGACAGGCGGGAGCTCACCCCGCTCCCTGGATTCGAACTGCCAATCTTCCAGTCAGCAGTCCTGCTGGCACAAGGGTTTAACCCATTACATTACCAGGGGCTCCAAGCCTGTTTGTGTAGAAATGTCTTTGTCTGCTGATAATAATAATAAAAGTGCCAGCCTAGCCTCCTGTGGAAGGGACTTCCAAAGGGAGAGAGAGGATGAGAGCAGCCACAGCAAGATGTGAAAGTGGCAGGACTGAGAGAACACCTTAGCCTGTGGATCTGGACATCCAGGCTCAGAGGTTGTGTGGCTTCATTAAGTAGGAGAGGAATATTACGTTGTTCAAATACAGATCACAATGATCCTCCTTTTGCACCTCAGAGTATTGAGGTGATGTGTGTTGTGTTTTTAATTTGCTGTAACTGGTTTTATTTTATGATGATTTAATTGCTTTTTAACTTTTGTATGTTGTTAATTTTTAACTATTATAGGCTTATTTAAACTAATGTAAAGTGCCTTGAGTCCCAAACGGGCAAAAGCAGGAGATGTATATTATTAGTAACAGGAATAACCAGCTGATGATAGTGTCACTATCAGTTTTTATAGCATTTAGATGTTTATTTAATTTTTAAAAACTAGAAAGAAGTGAAAATGGTAGCTAAAGAGATGTTTCTTAAAAATTATAAGCATGAAGATAAGTAACTAGGGCTTTTTGAGAGGAAAGCTGAGTCCTATTAGTACCGCTAATTATTTTAAAAACATATCTTTCCAAGCTCAGCACTGATGTAAGGGTTTATATCAGAAATAATTTGGGAAACATTCACTGAAGTCCTGTCTTTCAAGTCATATGTTTTACAGCAGAAACTCCCAAGTGTGGACTGTTCTATGGCAACAGTAGTGATGCCATGCATGCAACAATTTTTTCAGCAACATTTTTTCTGATTGTGGCCAAAACCAATTTTCACATGGAATCAAATCTTGCTTTTTGTAGTTTATTATTTTCAAGGCTAAAGCTCCTTGCTTTGATAACTGACCTTTAGAAAAGAAAAATTGAGGAATGTAGTAGGTTAACCTGTCTAGCCAGGTGCTGGTTTAATCCTTTTATTTCCAGTGAGTTCTTGAATCAATCCGATAGATGACCTTAGAGAAAGCAACTACCTGGAAAATCTGCATACGCACACAAATGCATGCTTTGCATACCTTTAGAAAAGTTATTTATTTTGTAGTCCACCTTTCTCCCAATATGGGACCCAGGTTGGCTTAGAATGGCCTGGATTCTGTTGTCAATCTTGACTAGAGTTGAATAATTGAATCAGTGGGATTTATCTTGTTGCTCCTGACACGGGGAAAAAAAAATCTTTGGGTTGATTGATGATTCAGCATTAATTCAAAGTTCTAGTTGAGGCAGCCCATAGACTCATATTCTTTATAACAGTTTTTAACAGATTCTATGGATAACTGTATAGTAAATGTATCTGTATGTTTTATATATGTAAAGTTAAGTCAACAGGTACTGGAGTTATTTCAAGCATGCCAACAAAAAGTCTATGATTTGAACAGAAAAGAGCTTTGCCGAACACAACTCCAAAGGGAAATTCAACAGATCTTCCCAAGTATGTTGAGGTTTTTTTAAATTATACATGGAATTAATAATTTCTTCTAAAGATATGGACTGATTACATATACTGTATTGTGTATTTCTTGTCCCGCAGATAGTAGACTATTTTTGGTTGGATCATCACTAAATGGTTTTGGTACTCGTAGCAGTGATGGTGACTTGTGCCTGGTGGTTAAAGAGGAACCAGTAAGTACAAGGCGAAAGCTTGGCCACACAATCAATGTGATATGTAACAGACGAATTCTCAACTTCTGTGTTCCTTTTGGGAGAGAATGCACTTAAAAGAAGCACAACATTATAGGATGGGCAATCAGTGTTAGAAATCTTTAACAAATTTAGCAATAACATTTTTGTTATCCATACTTGTGCTTGGTTTACTGCTTTATTGAAAAAAGAATAAGTAAAGCAAAATCTAATTAAATTCTTAAATATTTTGCATATTCTTCCCTGCATGATGATGTTGACCCAGTTTATACTATGTATGATCAAAGGTTATTATTTTCATACAATTACGTGATGGTCTTTTCTACATGGTGGACCATGAAGCCCATAAGATGAAGCTCATGACTTACTTCCACAATCCACGTGTTTTCTTCTCAGTACCTAGGAAGCAGTCTTCCACCTATAGCTCACACCTGCAACATTTAAAAAGTCTACAAGTTATAAAGACTGCCTACTGTGCTTCTATTTATTTGTTTAAAGAAGAGGGAAGACACAATTAAGGATAGATAAAATGTATCTTTAAAATGCTCACTTCACAGAAGGGGAAGATTACAATATCACTTGATGGATACTGTCATTCTAATCAAAAGTAGTGGCATCCTATGTTATGTATGGCATCAGTTTTAATCACTTAAAAAGCACACACAGCTTTCATTCGCAGCACTTGAAAAAGCTCTAATGAATTACAGTACAGGCAGTTCTCAAATTACAAATAAGTCGAATTTGTTTGTAAGTAGGAACAGGTACGTTTTTAAAGTGTAACTCCAGCCAATCTATATATGTGTGTGTGTGTGTTCATGTCAGGAGTGACTTGAGAAACTGCAAGTCACTTCTAGTTTGAGTGAATTGGTCGTCTGCAAGGACATTGTCCAGGGGACGCCTGGATGTTTGATGTTTCTCCATCCTTATGGGAGGCCTCTCTCATATCACCACATGGGGAGCTGGAGCTGACAGAGTCTATGTGTATGTTTATAGTTCTCTGTGTGCGTGTGGATATATATGGCCAGAGTTACACTTTAAAAATGTACCTGTTCCAATGTATCAGTACAATTCAAAGGGGTTCTGTTATTGTTCTGTTTTCCCAAAATATGGCTATTAAAGTGAGCCAGTATGGTGTAATGGTTTGAGTATTGGATTATGCCGCTGGGAGACCAGGGTTCAAATTCCCATTTGGCCATAGAAATTCACTGGGATACCTTGGGCAAGTTACAATCTTAGTCTCAGAGGAAAAGATAAGACAAAACCCCCTGTGAACAAATCTTGCCAAGGAAGCCTCATGATAGTTTGCCTTAGGGTTAGGAACAACTTGAAAGCACGCAACAGCACAGTGGATGTTGAATATGAATATTGCAGAGTTATGTAACATGAAATACATGGGTTATGGTAAAGGTGAAAGTAATGAAGACTTGAACTGTTTTATTCTCTCCCACTTGGTGGTATAATTACTATCATATGAGTGGAGAGACATGATTATTGAGTATTCTATATTTCACAAAGATCCTCATTGATCAGAAAGTGGTCTGTGTCCATGCTGTAGAAATGCAGTTCAGAGTCCATGAGCAGTAATAGCAAGGGGTGGAGCCAGTGATCTTATCTCCACTGTCTCATCACGCAGCTGTAACTGTGCTGAAGGAAAACAACTGATTCGGGTTTGACTCCTGTTCATTTGTTCTTTATTTATGAGATTTCACATTCGTTTTCTTAGGCTTTTCCATTTACATCCTAAGTATTAATGGCTGCAATTTATTTCAGATTAATCAGAAGACTGAAGCAAGATACATACTTGGTTTACTCCAAAAACATTTCTGTAGGAAACTTTGTAAGTTCTAGAAACCCTTTTTATACAGTATTTATTAACAAAACACTAAGCTTAATAATTAGGACTGCATGTATGCTTATTTATGTGGGTGAGCTGGACTGGATTTTGAGCTTAAAGTGCTGAGATGTTGAGTAGCATGCTTTTTATTTTCATTAAAGAGTTCTGTCTCTATATCTTTCCATGATTTATTAGTTAGTAATCTTTACTGGAAGCACTATCAATCTTTCCTCTCTCCCCTCTTTCCCAATTTCTCCATTGCATACACATGCACAAGACCTAACAGCTATATTAAAGATCAAGCATTGCCATTTGATGTTGTAATACTATTACTTTTGCTGCACAATTGCCATATTTCATCACGTAATAGTTGCTCCCACATATATGTATCATATAAGTATTTTGGGGTGCCAAAATGGGGATTAATGCTTTCCTCACTTAATAGTCATGCTGGCAGCCGAGGGGGCCTCTGTAGGCCTCACCCATTATCACCACATAAGAGTCACACCCCCTTTAAAGGGTGGAAAAAATGTGACTATTGTGTGGTCAAATGCCGTATTCTGTTGCAATAATTGGAAGATGATTTTTCTCCTCACTGTGAGAATACAGTGTTTTCCTGCATATGCCTGTTAATCTCCAGGTTATGTTTTAGTGCACTATATAGGCAGCCCCTAAGATACAAATAAGGTTTTGTAGGTCTGTTTTTAAATTGATAACATAGCAAAGGGTTAATGACCCCGTAGCTGTCAGTGCTCCTGGTCAAAAGATTTCACCTCACTTTCTGTTCCTGTGATAATAGGATTTTGAAAATTTTTGACTTGCTTTGGAAACAAGGATTGGCAAGAAAGCTTCAGTGGCCACACCTTTCACCCATGATAACTCTTTCAGGAGTGAATTTCCCTTCCTAAGGATATATTTCTTTTACTTCCTGTTGTCTAGCCTCTGTTCTTAACTATGAGTCAATTGTAAGTTGGATGTTTGTAACTCAGGGACTACCTGCAAAACTATTTGCTTGCTTCGCAAAGACAATTCTGTAACTATTCTGGAATTCTCTTGATGCTTCTGCTTACTGTTCATTATTTTATTTGTAGATATCAGTAGACTTTTCTTTTTTTCTTATTTAGCAAATTACATTGAGAGACCTCAGTTAATCCGAGCAAAAGTGCCAATAGTGAAGTTCAGGGACAAAGTCAGGTAAGTCCTTGTTATTATCACTAATTCTTGGGTTCTGGCAACAATTCAAGCATATGATATAAAAACATGCTGACAGATTTTCGGCTTTCCATTGATCAGCCTGTTTGGCACTTCAGTAAAGTAAATAGGAAACAAATCCAATACAGAGCACTGTTCTCTCAATTTCACAGAAGTGTAAGATATGCATTATATCTGGTATTTTATTTTCCCTTTCTTGAATGATATTGCTTCAACTTGCCATGCTGATAATTTTGGACTACCACTGCCATTTCCAACAAATCTTGGCTTTATATGCTATTTTACTGGATTTAGTGGGATTGTTATTCAGATACTGTTTTGTTATATAAGGACACAAGCTGCCCCATACATTGGCTATGTCAGGGGAAAATAGCATACTGTGAGATGGAGGTGCGGACATAGCTGGCAGGGTTACAATATCCCTACTTTCTTCCCTGTAACTTTTTTGAGGGAGGTTTGTGCCTACGAAACATTTGATTACATTTGAAACAAAGCATTACATATGACCTATTTTCTTTAGAGGATGAGAAGTATGCTTCTTTTTTGCTTCTGCAGATTACATCGACACATCTTTCTCCTTTATGGCTATCTGTCTAAGCTTCTTTTTCCATGTCTTTCTATTAGAAAAGTTACCTGTGTGGATTATAACAGAATGAATTGGCTGGCAGAATCAATGAGTTTATTGTTTATAAAAATAACATTTCAAAGCTCTGCTCTCAATCCACAAACATCTAAAAATGTACCAAATGCCTCGTAGTCACTGTTTTATTGAGGAAATGTAGGGCACATTATTTTGCCTACAGAGAGGTCCAAAGCTGACATCTTAGAAAGATCAGGTAGATGGCGATTTCATTATGGTCTACCTGGGAGAGCTGATATCAGTCAACATAGATGCTACAGATGTGGGCTAAATCTATTTTGACTCACGCACATCATAAACCCTTGTGTTCCTGAGACAAATACCGCAAAAAATGTGAGAAAGCAGAGTGGTTTTCAAAAATGGAGAGAGAGAATGATGTATTTGCAGCAACATTGATCTTTTAACATAACAGGCTTATTTTTGGGTAAGGTTTGGCTAAGGTGAAGGTTTCTCCTGACATTAAGTCTAGTTGTGTCTGACCCTGAGGTGTGGCTGGCATGACTGCATAGAGTGCCATTACCTTCTCACAGAAGTGGTACCTATTGATCTCACATTTGCATGTTTTTGCATGTTTTTAGGTTGACAAAAGCTGGGGCTAACAGCAGGAACTCACCCCGCTCCCCGGATTTGAACCTCCAACCTTTCAGTTAGCAAGTTCAGCTCAGTGGTTTAACCTGCTGTGCCACCAGGGGAATTTGTTTTGTAGAATTAGTTTTGTTTAAAAAATGTACCAGAAAGGTGTTGCTATATTGTGTTTTTCAGTTCTGTTATGTCTTCCCCATTTTCCACTCTCCCCTGTCGCAGTGCCTGATACCTCAACATCCTTATTTGATTTAATCGTAGTGATTAAATGCATTTTCCTGTTGTTGCCCAGGTTTTTGGCTAAGTCTCAGCAGGAGGGTAAATTTATTTGATTATTTGCAGCATCTATGCTCCTTAGGATTTCCTGATTATCTGAGTAAAGTGGAAGCAGACTTTATATCTTTATTGTAACCCATAACCTGTCGGAGGCTTGGTTTTTCCTCTAAGATTAATCTCTTACACTTCCTTTAATTATATTAAGTTGTTCAATTCTGCTTTAGAATTCACTGGGATCTATTTTCCCAGGACCTTGATCAATGATGTGTCTCCTTAAATATGTGGGTTGCTATGGAGCAAACTGAAGGTCATATTGTGAACAAGGCTTAATTGTTGCCTTTGTTTAACAAAATATAGAACATATCAAACAGTGAATGCCCTGTAAGCAAAAGCCAAGTCATTTCTTTACCACTGGATACTCACTGCTCAGCATCACAATCAAAAATCCAAGACACTGACTAAATAGTACCAGATTCTGCGTATATGTACCAATATTAGTTTTTAACAAAATTAGAGCTCGATCACTCACTATCTGGTATTGTCCACACAGTGAGATATGTTCCTGATATCATTTTTCCCCCTATGGGTTGCACCTGTAATATGCTGAATGCTAGAAATTGTAGTATTTGGAAAACGCCTGCCTGTTTTATCGCTTAACATATACTTGCTTGTGTTTTGTGATTAGCCTGGAATAAAATATTTCTATGGCCTTTTTTATAGCAAGTACATGGGTTTTCTGGAATTACAACTCTAGAAAATTATAGGGGGGCATGCAGTCCTAGCTGAGTGGGAGATGCTTTGTGTTGTTAAGAATACCAGTTTTTGTTCAGCATTATTTCAAGTTATTGATGACAGCATATTGTGCAAAGAAATTACAGGACTGAAAGCCAGCTTTTAAGATTAGTGACACTAAATAATGGAGAATGCCAGCTATATTTTTGTTTGCATGTACACACAAATAAAACACACTTATCCTTGAAAATCAAGACTTTCACCAACTATTGTTTTAGTTACAGTTTTATTTGAATTATTTGTAAAAATGCTTGCGTAAGTCTGATTTTTTTCCTCCTCCCAGCTGTGTGGAGTTTGACTTGAATGTAAACAATGTTGTTGGAATACGAAATACATTCCTTCTCAGAACCTATGCATACAGTAAGTAGTCCATACATTTTACTGTGTGTATTCAGTTATCTTAGATGCTCTTACTATGGTTGCAACCTAAAAACTGTTCAGTATGTCAAGTTTAACTCCTTTCTATATGTGTCATTTTATTTCTCTACTATATCTCAAGAAATGTGCATAGGATCACGCTGCAAAAATAGTTTGTGTTTATTGGTTTTGTATATTGTTTAATAGTTTACTAATATTACTAATAATATTACATAAGAAATAGAATTAAAACAACAAATAAGGGGAAATATATGAGAAGGAAGGGGGAAACTACAGGTCAGAGGTGGAAAGTGCAATTTCCTACTGTGGGTTAAAACCAGTGAGTTATGGCAGTGTGAATGATCTGAGGGAGGGGGCACACTCTGCTCCAAAGCAGGATATATTCCTATCATGGTGAAGTGAAGAAATCTGATGGGGAGAAAATCAACTCATTAGAAATGTGGTGCTGGAAAACCATTCTGTGGATACTATGGCCTGCTGAAAATACAAATAAATGGGTCTTAGAGCAAATGAAGCCTGAACTTTCTCTTAAAGTCAAGATGACTAAACTGAGACTGTCTTAATTTGTCTATATCATGAGAAGACATGACTCATCAGAAAAGACAATTAATGTTCATAAGGTAGGAGGCTTTATGAAAGAGGAAGACTGGATTCCAGATGGACAAATTCAACCAAGGAAGCTACGGCTCTTAGTCTGCAAGAGCTGGGCGAGATCATTGACTTGTTGGAAGATAAGTTATCTGACAGGCTTGGTTAGATCTTAGTATAGGTAGTGCCCAAGTTACAAGCAAGATTGGTTCTGTAGATTTGTTCTTAAGTTGAATGTGCATGTCAGTTGGAACAACAACGTTTTAAAGTGTAACTTCAGCTATCTATCTATGGATATCACAGAGCAGGATTTACAAGCTTGTTGTATTTGTTTTGTTCCTGTGTCCCTGATCAGAAGATTTCACCTTACTTTCTGTCCCTCTGATAATTGGATTTTGAAAAATTTGGCTTGTTTTGGAAACAAGAATTTGTGATAAAGCTTCATTTGAGAAACCTTTTCCCATGATAACTCTTTCAGGAGTTTATTTCCTTTCTGAGGGGTAGATTTCTCTCATTTCCTGTAGCCTCATCCTCATTCTTAACTATGAATTGTTTGTAAGTTGGATGTTTGTAACTTAGAGAGTATGATCATGGAATAACACTTTCTGGTATCTGTTTTATTTATTTTCCATGTGATATTTTAGATATAATATAGCTCTGGCAAAGATTAGTTTCACAAGTTACATTATGATTTACATTATGATGGCAATAGCAAAATTAGATATTTACAACAAAATGAGACCCTTCAGGATGCCCTTCTTCTGGAAACTTCATTATTTTACACAAACCTTGTTTTCTGGTTTTTTGCCTTACAGTATTTAGTTGTGTGTGCTTAGGGAGCATAGTCAGTCTTCACTGAGCTGGCTTGGGAGCTGGCTCTTTAGCGATTGTTCAAAAAAAATTCAGTGCTGTTATGGCTGCATGACGATACACAATTGGAAGGTGGATTTTCTAGTATCAGCACTGGACATGGCACTTTTACAGAAAAATGAATGCTGGATAGAATGCCTCTGCTCAAGGGTTCTTACATCTCTGCATTTAAACAATATTGAAGGAAGACTTCAAGATCACAACACAGAAGGAGGAAAATGACAAATGTGAGACAGGAAGTGACAAATGTGAGAAAATTCTTGCATATAGTTTTTTAAAGTGTTAAAGAATTAAGCAAAGGCCTCATGGAATAGATGGCGCATAGGCCCATTTCTGAAGTAAAGGGAGTTTCAATCATAAGAGCTAAACAATGGACATTTTTTTTTTATGGAAGAGATATTTCAGTAGCGGTGATTCCTTGAGTTGTTAAAGGATGTTTTGGGGTTGGAAAGATTACACAGCCCAACCAAAAAAGAAATATTGGTGCCTTAGTTTTTAGGCCTGTTCTTGGAGTTATTTAGGGTTCAGAAAATTGAATTGGATAAATGGCATCAGTTCTAGTTTTTTAGATATGGTTATCGGTACCATTTTTTGGAATCAGCAGATCAAATATATCCAGAAACAGGTCTGACATTTGAGGCACCAAGATGTGTTGGTCAATGTTGTAGATATAGATCTGTAGGAAGTTCTTATTTAAAAAGCATCTGACTGCTCTTTATCTTGTTTACAGTTGAGAGTCGAGTACGTCCTTTAGTCCTGGTTGTAAAGAAGTGGGCAAGCTTTCGTGGCATAAATGATGCCAGTCGAGGCACTTTAAGCAGCTATAGTCTTGTGTTGATGGTTTTGCACTATTTACAAAGTAAGTATATTTTTCACTTTTGGAATGGCCTTTCCTTTCAATGTAACTTGTATGAATTCCTTCCTAATAGAACTGCTTAGGGTATCTCTGGATGCTTGCTTTTAAGGTCTTGATTTTGCGACTTCTCCTGAGTTCCTTATTCTTAGAACCCTAAAATATGTTTACTTTTCAATTAGACTTGATTTCACATTTGAGTTTTTTTATACTCCTTTTTTTGGGTGGGAGTGGTATTATGTTGTTTCGTTGGGAAAATACCATGGCATAATTGTTGAGTTTCTTGCTATCTCTTAAATCCAGATAGCAGCAAGAACCAAATATACCATTCATCATAATGATCTTTTAACTAATTCTGTATTTTAAAATAGTACCCAATTGTAAGAAAGAAGGTATTGTCGCAGGCTTTCATGGCCAGAATCACTGGGTTGTTGTGTGTTTTCCGGGCTGTATGGTTGTGAGGTCTGGAACACAGAAAACACACAATAACCCACTGTAAGAAAGAAGCAGTTACTGCTTTTTTACACAGTCATCTAATACTTAGGCAACAGGTGAATTTCCAGCTTTATTCTCCTAAAAATGCCCTGACATCTTTTCATGATTTTTTAATTCTTCCCAGTGAATTCTTAATTCAGTAAAGGTTTGATCCTTGGTGCAATTCCTTGTTGCACCTATCATGTTCTCTCTGTTTTTTTAACCTCATTCTTGACTGGTTTGAGCTGGTGTTCTTTAATTTTCTTTTTTAAACCATGCATATAGCTCTTGAATGCATAGAAGGAACAACGAGATGAAATTGTGATAAATATTACACATTTTAAAAAATCGTAGCTTTTAGGAGGTTCTTTTCTTTGTAAAAAAAATAACTGGGCAATTGGGAATCCTTCCATATTGTCATCTTCTATGTTTCTTTTCATCTTGTTATTTTATGAGTCTCATTGGAAATTAGGGTGTGCATTTTAGAGTGTGACTATTCATGAACATTTAGGTGCTTTGAACATAAGTGCATTATAACTGTATAGTTGCAGTAAAACAAAATATCTCACTGGTGAGTATTCACTCTTGTGATTACAGTAGTCTCCCCAGAATTGGTAGGAAGCCTACTACATAAATGTGATATAGATCAGATAAAAATGTTTTGAATTCTTGGATTCAGAAATATGCTTCACAATATGTTTCAGAAATAAATACAGGGGAATATTAAATTAATGATTGATAATGTGGAAACTCATTAATTCATATCTTCTCTCACAGAATGGAAAGTGATACAGTAGTCCACTTTTGGTAATAGCTAAAAAGTCCTTTATAATTCAGTTTTATCAGTCTTTTAACATTCAGTTTTATAATTTGACTATTTCTATAAGTAATCACCAAAGTTGATGATGACAGATGTATGTCATCATTGTATATGTCATTTGTATTGTTTATGTCACCATCAAATTTGGTGAATATTTACAGAAATATACACCCACTGTCATCTGTCAATAAAAAAAGAAGCAATTAGAATTAGATGGATGTTCATGCCTGGACTATTTAAGCTTTGCTATGTGTAAAGCACCTCTGGGCAACTGCAGAAGTTTGGTGGTCCATTTTTCAGCCCTGCACCTGATATGACTTGGAAGTGATGTCAGGTTACTTCTAGTTTCACCTTTTTGTCTATTTTAGGGGTTCTTTATGGGGGGGGGGTTAAATGTTTGAGAGATTTTGAGAGCAAAGCTGCTGTTTTGTGGTCAGTTTGAGACATTTTTCAGGCTGGGAGGAAAATAATAACACAGTATTATTTGTCTCCCTTGATATAAAACTATCCTCCTTGATGTAAAGCAAAATTCAACTGAAATATAAAGTTTTCTCAACATAGGCAATATTTAAGAAATATCCACAATGTTTTCTTTACTTTAGATTCCAGCAAGTGTATTATAAAGAAATGTAGTTAGGAAAATAGTATTTTTTTTAATTTTTTTAGCTATTTCAACAGTGACTGTGGTTTGGATTCAACATGTGCTGTCTGTATCCAATAAAAAGAGAGCAAGAGAAGGAGAATATTGAGAGAATGACATTGTATTGTGATTAAAATCTGCAAGATCCAAGTTTCACGGAAGTCTACAGCTATTTAAAAGGCCCTTGCAATGAAAATAATATCCATACAGAAAATCCTGTTTACTTCTATGTAATAAGAATATTACTGACTTTGGCTTAAATGAGTAACTTTCATATTCGAAAATGTTTAATTAAGTTTCGCACAAAAATTATGAAGCTAATTTTGGTTAATTTAAAAGGCCTAGAATATTGACATTTTGAATAAGCATTTTATCCTAGGCCCTCAGTTCACACCACTGGTGTAGCTGGTATGTTGTTTTCTGTGAAGTACATGAATCACAGCAACTTTAAACTTTTTTTTTATAGCCCTACCTGAACCTATTCTTCCATCCCTCCAAAAAAATTACCCAGTAAGTGCTTCTTATAAATTACTACATAATATGTTTCTTTAAAAACTGATTACCTACCATATGAATGTTGCTATTTAACTCTTAAATTTGGGTGATGGCGCAATATGCCTGTGATTATGGTTGTTATAAGCTTATAGTGAACTGCTATTGTGTGCCTGTGTATATAGAAAAGTCAACTGCCAGTGGACTCTTTCCTAGACTTCCTACAGCTATATTTTTACAAACTAGTTCTCATCACATAAGGAATAAGATTTGTTCTAGAATGTTTTTTTTTTAAAAAAAAATTGGAAGTCCTTATGAAGAGATTTCTTCTTCTTCATCACTGGCTTCTCACAAGGTTTCAGAGCTAATGAAGACCAGCTTGTCACTTTTTATATTACCATATATACTTGTGTAAAAGTAAAACTTTTTTTGAAAATAATCTACCCAAAAAACCTGGGTTGGAGGTCGACTTACACATGGGTTAATGTAAGTACTGTCTTCTGTGGTGATACTGTTGACTTTTTTGAATGCTTGGATGCAGTTGGCTTCATTAGGGCTGTGTGGGAGGGGTGACACTGAAATGACTGCCATTGCTACAACCACCAGAATCCCTGTTCAGGACACCCGGTTTTACCCTTCATGGAACTCCCCTTATTCCAGAATCCCCCTTCTCCTTTGCCTAGGACTTTATAAAAAGAAGCCATTTTCTCTTCTTAGTAGAATGATAAAAGGCCTTTTTAAATGCTTGGGCAAAAATGTTAGGGGTAGATAGTTAATACCTTCAGACCGCTTTCCCTTCTCAACAGACTTAAGTCTTGACTTATCCACAGGTTAAATCTTTGTGTGATATGTGATGTTATTTTATGTGATGTGTTTAATAATGTTTAATGTTTTATCAGGGGAGGGTCAATTTTGATGCTTTACACTCTTTTTTATCGATGGCATAGAATTGTTGCGAACACTCTGAACCGCCCTGAGTCCTCTTCAGTGTTGAGAATTATTTATTTATTTCAAATATTTATATCCCGTCCTCAACCCCCGTCCTTCTCAACCTTCTCAGGGCAGCTCACAACGAGCAGTTATTAGATGTCAACACCAAAACAAACAAAAGCAATATAATCACGTGTTAAATATTAGTTAAAATGTTAAATTATAAAATATCCATTAAAACATTATAAAACAACAATACAACCAAGTCCAAATCCAACTCAGTGTCCAGAGTCGCAGTCAGAGGTCTGTCCATTGTCAATTCCCATAAATCATTGTGATTATTACTGCTAGGCCTGTTACCTGAATGCCTGGTCCTTCAGCCATGATTTGAGCTTTTTTCTAAAGGAGAGGAGAGAGGGAGCTGACCTGATTTCACTGGGGAGGGGCGGGACACCCCTCAGAAGACGCTGTCTCTTGTCCCCACCAATCATGCTTGCGAGGATGGCGAGATAAAGAGCAGGGCCTCCTCTGATGATCTTAAGCTCTGAGATGGATCATAGAGGGAGATGTGTTCAGACAAGTAAGCTGGGCCAGAACTGTATAGGGCTGTATAGGCCAAAGCCAGCACTTCGAATTGTGCTCGGAAGTGGACCAGCAGCCAATGGAGCTGACATAACGGGGTGGTATGCTTCCTGAACGATGCTCCGATGAATAATCTGGCTGCCGCCCATTGGACTACTTGAAGTTTACTTGAAGTTTCCGGACAGTCTTCAAAGGCAACCACGTAGCGTGTGTTGCAGTAATCTATTCAGGGTGAAGGGTGGTATACAAATACTATAAATAAATAAATAAATATCCATAATAGTGTCCCTCAAATCTGACCTTGATTTATATGTGAAGTTTACTTGTACACTAATATGGATATCTAAATCTATGGATACACAAGTCACAATATATACAATGGTTTAGTAAAGATTGCTTGTGTCTTAGACAAACGAACACTTCAAAAATATTACGGAAGTTATATTTTGAGCAGAGAGTGGTTACAGATAATAAAAATTGGGATTGAAAAAGTTTGTGTTGGCAACTAATGTAATATGGGTGTCCCTTTGGCACAAGGTATATCAATAGGATCTGTTTGAGTATTTCTGTTGGATCTTACTGTTTAGCACACTGCTTCTTAAACTGTGTGTCTGGACCCTAAATGGGGCCCCTTTAGCTCAATGTTGGGATCACGAAAAATTTGGCAACATTAAAATTTGTCTGAACATCATCAAGTGGCTGTTTTAGGCATTTACTCGAATCTCGTTCAGTGTTTACAGTGGACTCTGCAGAAGATGCTTCAGTTGTACTTCATAAAAAGGAAAATCAACCTGTTTAGCAAGCCTTGCAAATGCTGATTTATTTTCAGTAAATGTTTGTTGTTTATTGTTGTTTATATGTATATAATTATATACCTGAGGTCACGTACACATTTCTTGGGCTGGAAGGGGTTGAGGATGCTGAATGGGAAAAAGGAGGATAATCAATTTTAATAGATTAATGGGATTAAGAGGAAATACCTGATTGAATTGTGGCTGTTGATTTTTAAAATAAAGGGGCTCAACATCACCTTTTCATCTTTCAGCTGCCATGAAAAAGTTATCTGATGCTTTTCACAGCTCTCCTGATCATATAGGTATAGAATAATATATTTGTTTATTGCTCACCATATTGGTTGCCTGCTAGTTACTTAGTTGTGCAGAATCAGCTCTCCAGTTAAGCACCTACATTCTTTGCATCTATTTCTCAACCTTAAATTGAAAAGCTACTTTTTAAAAAGCTAATTGTGCATCTAATCTAATATCAGTAATTGCATATTCTGTCAAACTATAAGGAACAATGGAAAGGCCTTCTGACACATGGCACACCTATGAACACAGAGGTCAGGCTGGATATTGATCAACCTGTGTCTTAGTTTAGTGTTAATACAGCATTGTGAAGATTTTCTGGGGTTTAGTAAAATTATTACTTTATTGTAGTTTCCTTTTCCATGAGTGTTCATTCTAGTGTAATAACTTGAACTTTGTATCAGTTTTGAGTACAGCAGTCTCACTTAGCCAATCTTCACTCATCCAACATTCTGTATTATCCAACACAGTCTGCCTCCAGCCTGGATCCACAGCTGTTTCAATACATTGCAATGTTTTGCTGCTAAATTTGTAAATACAGTAATTACTACATAATGTTACCGTGTATTGAATTGCTTTTTCTGTCGATTTGTTGTAAAACATATTGTTTTGGTGCTTAATTTGTAAAATATTTATAAACAACTGCTACCATATGTCCTTATGTAAAAAAAAGACAAAAAAATAAACCCAAAAACTTGGGCCGATTTCTACATGGGTCAGTGCTGGAATAGGGACCCAACAGGAAAGGAATAACAAGAGATAGATGTGAAAAGTGTTCCTACCCCATTTTCCCTCCCTTTCCAAACTAGAAAGAGGCAATCAGTCCCCCTTCTTTACTTTTACTTTTGGTTTAAGCGGCATTCAGCAACAATGTGGGGGACCCTGAGGAATGTGTGGTACTTGACATTTGGATTGCATAAGATGGTGTGTAATGTCAGCAGCCATTTTTAATAGGACTTACTGTAAAAGCCTGCCTGCCTGTATTAAAAATGCCACTGCAGTGTCTACAGAGAGGCTTATGCAATAGGACCTTACTAAAAATGGCTGCTGCCATTCAGCATAACCTCAAGCTCCCTACATGGAGGACATCTTCCCTCATGTTGTTGCTGAATTCTGCTCAGGCAAAAAAAAAAATAGGGAGAAAGGCCTGCCTCTCTCTCTCCCCCCCCCCCCCCCCCCTCCAGTTTGGCCAAGGGAGAGGTAATGGGTTGGAAGCTTCTAATATCTACCTAAGGTGCCTTCCTTAAAATCCTGCATTTTTCAGAAAGAAGCAAAAACATTTTAAAACCAAGGGATTATAGTTTCCTGTATTCCCCATCTAGCCCTAATGTTCCCCTTGCAACAGTTTATGTTACTGGTTTAGAATCCAGACACCAAGAATCCTCCACTTTATATTGTGTGGTAGATCTGTTTTAAGGTGTGACATTTTGTAGAACCAGGGAAGGACATGTGAAAACAATTGAGCAACACAAGATGGATGAACCTCAAACGCAAACATCGGGACAGTCCCAGAAGGAGATGCATACCTAATTAATATTAGTATCTGGTTTGCTTTTATAACTCAGAATCAAGTAACAACAAAACAGTTCATTAATAAATGGGGTGTATGTGTTTGCTTCATACTGCCATTTTCATTCTCAAGGATAATGATAAAAAGTTATTTTGTATTAGATCCAACATTATTTTCTCCCCAAAGAGAGCAAGATGAATACAAAATAAAATACACTCCAATGACCCCCACCGAAATCCGGGACATCAAAACAGATAGCGGTTTACCAGGATTTTACAAACCTACTGTGCATATTACATTAACACATCATAATTAGGAAGAATATTAAAACATACAGGTTTTTTGATGCACAGTTATTACCATAGAACTGTAGCTCTTAACATTTTCTTTGCCAGCCCCAACACCTTAACTATGGTATCTTGTGTTGCTATAGACCACAAAGACTTAATTCTAGATTTTAACCCCTAAAGTGCATTAAATATTTAAAGTTGCTCATCAAGATTCCCCAGATTTAGAGACAAGGGAGAAATAAGTAAATACACACACCTGTATTATATTTTATTAGATTATTTCTATCATCACGAAGATTCCTTCTCGACTCTCCATCTATTTCAGTATGTAATTTATAATTCCATTTCTTTCATTGTGCCAATCTAAGCTTTTTATGATGAGACATATTGCATTATAGAACGCATCAAGCATTTTGTTATTTGCTCTCATAACCTTTTCAGTCAAAGATCATTATCGCTATGCACATTCCAACATACTAATTAGAGATAACTGGCCCAAAAGTTGCTAAGCCAAGTCTTCAGATCACCTATTGTGTGAAATTAGCCAGCCTCCTTATAATGTAACTGCCACAACTCAATTGAAAATGGCTACAAAGGGATTTACTCCGAAGTGCAAAGGGGATTGCACTGATTACTGTGGCATGACCTTCCACCAGTGTCCCAAGGCAAGAGCCACCTCCTCTCAATTGCGGTCCTGTTTTGACCTCCCCTTCTACCTGATCCTTTCCACCCTTATGTATTGGCATGGTCTGTGAGTTGTCACACAAATAGCTCTGGACACCCAGTGCAATGCAGCATCCAGAGAACATTATCAGAGTACACCCATGTCTTGGATTGATGTCTGAAGTGGCAGAATGAGATAAAGTAGCATTTTTGGGGAGAGGAAGGAAAAGAAGAAAATGACGAATTAACTGTGTACAGATGGGAGAGAGACCACTGGGAGAGGGATGGTCTGAGGCACAGGTGCTATCTCCCTCTGCACTTCTGATTGGACACTATCCCCAAGACTGAAGGTAGGGACGAACAAAGGAGTTTTGAGGTCACTGGGAGGTGTGCCCTTAGTGTCTGTGCCAGTGGTTCTCAACCTGTTGGTCCCCAGATGTTTTGGCCTTCAACTCCCAAAAATCTGAACTGACTGGGATTTATGGGAGTTGTAGGTCAAAACGCCTGGGGACCCACAGGTTGAGAACCACTGGTCCATGCCAATTGCTTCTTAGCAGCCATAGGATGGCATGAGGGCCATTGATATCACACAGCAGGGCTGAGTGCACACTCAGACACTCACTATTTGTTCAGTGCACAGGTCCCTATCCTCTAAGGCAGGCCTGCACAACTGGTGGCCCTTCCAGAAGCCCTACTTTGTTTGTCCAGTGGCCATGAATTCTGGGGGCTGATGTCCAAAACACCCAGAGGGCTGCAGGTTGTGCCGACCTGCTTGAGGGACTTTTCGTATCCAGTGTGAGAATATTGCAACTTCCCAGCAGTTTGCTCGCCACAGATTAATTTTTAAAAAATTGTATGGGCTTATGAACTGAAATACACCATCTTGATTATTAAATTTGTAATAAACATGGGGAGTTGGGTAAATACCCATTTTAGGTTTAGTGTATAATATTTTGTAAATTAGAAATCTTTCAGAGTGCTGTCATTATCTTCACATACCTTATAAAATGCCAGAGAGTTACGTATAAGTGATGGTATAATTGGCTTCAACGAGTACAGTGTTTGTTGCATTGGCAACATTAGGGCTAATGCCAACATGTAAATAGCAAACCACCTTTTAAATAAGATAATGTTAGTGTAACATTAATTGGTTAAATTAATACATGTTTTTGAAAACATTCGAAATGACTGGAAGTAAGGCAATATATTAATTGGAATTAAAAATAGCATTGTATAATAATTACAGTAACACATTTCAACTCTCCCTCCCCTTTCTGACAGCTGCTATTTGTTGGCAAGCAGTGTATCTGTCCAAAGAGTCTAGTCAATCCCATCAACTGTTAGTGATGACTTTATTCTATAAACTCTATTAGTCTCCTTTAAACTTATTCTACCCTTTGTCCATTTTACACTATGTAGCTTTTAATTTCATATTTAATGATACATTGTTTTGTGTGCACTGCCTTATTTCTGTTCTGAATGTATTGCTCATCATTTTCCTTGGGTGAATAAAGTAACAAATATATGTTATAATATAATATATAATATATTGTATATACATATAATATTTATAATATTGTAATATAATTCTACTAATAATAATATATTATAATTATATATTTATATTACATGTAATATTACTAATAATATTATAGTATAATTGATATAGTGCAATATAGCAATATTTAAAACTGATATTGTACTATGTTAATAATATATTGTATGTATATATACCTTGTAAGCTGCTCTGAGTCCCCTTCGGGGTGAGAAGGGCGGCATATAAATGTTGCAAATAAATAAATAAATAAATAACAAAATTCAAATTGAATGTAAAGCTGTGTCCTTGCACTTAACATGCATTTTTATTTGTAAAAGATGCAAACTGGTGTCTATTTTAGATACATTGATTCCGGTCAGTAGTTGTTCTGTAAAGGAGTAATTTTTTTAGCAGTACTGAAATAAAAGAGGAAATGATTGTGCTCCCCTTTCCTGGCTGCTGCACTCCTGATAATTATCAGCTCTTCCAACTGCTGTTTGCATTTTTAAAGTATGCAGATTGATTTTCCCTGCATTTTTCCATTTTTTTAAATGAGAAAAATTTCTAAATGTATTGCACAATTTTTCAGATTCAGTGTTTGACCTGGTACAAAGCAAAAGTGCTTTTGCCTCTTGGCAGGACCATGCTGATGATTGACTTAGTTTAGCATTCACTTACCTGTTTGCTAAGTCATTGCTTGATAGATTATTGTCTGTATCTACCCAGGGTCTGTTCATTGCTGATAATCTAGTTGAAATTAATAGTTTATGAGAATTCACCGGGGCATTAATGCAGTGTGATTTTCTTTCTCTGTAATGGAATGGTACTAGAGAAATGGGTTAGCAGCATAATTCTGTGTTGGCGTAGAGTTGGTATTTAACCTAATAACTGTACTCTTCTAACTAGCATTAAATTTGAATACAAGAGCTGTGTATTCAGCACTGAAGATCCATATTTTCTGTGGCTAGGCTCAGGTCTCTTCTACACAGCTGTATAAAATCCAGATTATCAAATTTGAACTGGATTGTATGACAGTATAGACTCAGAAAGTTCAAATCAGATAAAGTGGATTATCTGCTTTGATAATCTGGATTATATGACAGTGTAGAACGGGCCTCAGATTTGTTAGTTCTCACATTTTATAGTGGTGATAGACCTCACAGTAGGTAGATCAAATAAAATAAAGATTTCCAAATGTTAAGTAAACAAATAAGAAATATGCTTTTAAGTCACTTTTCTGTTTGAGGAGCAACAGGAATGGATTTTTCTACACTTGATCCACTGCGTATAAAATAAGATGTTATTAAAGTGGGGTAAAAACATGGATTTGGTTCAGGGAAGAGCTGTCTTACAGTTGGAATGTAGGATCTAATCCAGCATTAGTGATCTGTATAACAGACACAAAAAACATAAAAAACAAGAATACCTAAGAAAATCAAACGAGACAGAACCTTCATATGGAAAATGTGTATCATGGACAAGAAAGGGTCTATAAGGGCCTCGGAAACGGATACTTCGGTTTTATTTTACTGTTTCTAGTTTTTGCACAAAAACAGTTTTTCTACTGAAAATTTAAATATACTCTTAAGCATAAGTAAGCAGTACCACAGTTAGTATCCAGTGGCATTGCTATACCTGCAAACACACCTTCTGTTCTCCCTCCTAGATCCACTCCTATGAGTCCTAAAATCCCCTTTTGGAAAGCTGAAAAAATTATCCAGATCAGGCATTTCATGTTAGAGAAGCCTGTTGAAATCGGAAAAATCCTAACTACCAATTATTTAATGTTTTTTTTAGTCCTTTCATTATTTTTATTACTAGCTGTCACTGAGTTTTTAGGGGTTCTGACTGATCTAAACTGTACCTTATTTGGGTGCTGGAGATTTCAGTGGACGTTTTTGGTCTTGGGGGCTATGCATCTTTATCTTTGATAGTATTTGAACACTGTGTAGCATCATGACATCAGCGCACAATTAGATTCTGCTCTCTCTGTCTCCCTGTTTTTACAGGAATCTTTTGATCCTACTATGCAGCTGCGCCTTGTGCATCAGGCTCCACGCACCATTCCTCCTTATGTTTCAAAGAACGAAGCAACACTTGGAGATCTCTTGTTGGGCTTCCTGAGATATTACGCTACAGAATTTGAGTGAGTGATCAAGCTTTTCACTTTAGTGAACCATTGCATGTCCACTTTGATGTGGTAGTTCACACTGAATCTACATTGGTTGCAGTTTTCAAATGAATGAGGATCATGTATTTTCATCAAAGGGAGGAAATACTTCAATTTTTATTTAAAATGTTACTATTGTAAAACAAACATGCAAGGTTGCATAAGATATTAATAAAAGAGTGTTTGAAAATGGCTTACATGAAATCATTTTGGTGGTCAACAGTTCAAGCGTTGTTGAAATAGAGGTGGGAAGTGTATTATTTAAAGGAGCATCTTTTTAGATTTGGATGTTTGTGTCTTACAGTCTATACAGAAAGACCTGTTTGATACACATCTTATTCAAAGATTAAATGATTTTTTCATAAGTTTTTATATAACTGATCCCACCACGGACACTACCAGGCTTAAACTACTGCTGTCAAAGCAATGTCAAACTTAAACCACCACAAATGATCCAGTGAGATTTTGGATAAACAACTATATAAATAACAATATGGTAATATGCAATGGAAGAGACTGAAAAATGCAGTCATAAGAGATTTGGCAGAGCTACATTTCTGTAGTCAGTTAGGTGTTGGAGGAGGGATGGGAAGGGCATGAATTCATCTGGAAAGTATAGAAAAACTTACTGTAAAAGTAGTATGGTATTATTGTTGTAATTTTTTTTAAAGCCATGCTTCCAACACAGATACTGTGTAGTCTAAAGTCATTTAAGTTGTTAACATTATTAGTAGAGTTGGGCTTGAATCACAGTTAACAAAGATGTGTAGTTTTTGGAGGCCCATTTTCATGTAATTTCTGAAAACAAAAAGGGGAAGAGACCAGTGAAACAAATTCAGAGAGGTAATATTTTCGGAAACAGAGAGGTAATATTTCGGAAGTCCACAAAATACTCGAGGCAGGCGGGTCTGTGGCATCTTTTTCTCTCCCTGGCAGAAGAAGCCTCCTCCAGAGAGGGCTCTTAGAACTAGCTTTCCCAGTGGCACTAGCATAGGGTAGCCATTGAAAGATCCTCTCAGAGCATGATGGGAGTTGAAGTTCCATGCTCTGATTGGCTGAGAATGGACACGCTGGCATCTACAATTCCCGTCTTACGGTTGTAATTTTTAAAATGTTATGTTAAAATAATTCGAAAAAATCAGTGGCTTGATGAATTGTTTTGAAATTTGGCAGACCTACAGTTGTAAATGGGGTCTACAACTGAAGTAGGTTTCATGCAGATAGGCCATAAAATGGCTGAGGATTAAGCCTTTAAAGTTTCCCGTTGTAGCCAATGGGCCAAGTCTCTGCAGAATGAAATGGAAAACAACCCTCCCCTTTCGGGTAACTTTCTGGTCAACAAAATGAGGGATTAGACCTGAAAACTGTATGCCTTTTGGTCCGAATGCACATAATAATAACATGACTAATTATTCGAGTGTTCTTTTAGGCACAAATGTATGGCATAAGAATTTATTGAACAGAATTTTGAGATCAGGATTTCTCATTTAAGCCCTCCAAAATCTGTCTGACACTGATTCTAACATCTCTTTCTTATATCCCTAACACCAACATTTATGTATTGTCGAAGGCTTTCATGGCCGGAATCAATGGGTTGTTGTAGGTTTTTTGGGCTATATAGCCATGTTCTAGAACATGGCCATATAGCCCGAAAAATCTACAACTCATCAACATCTATATTTCTCCCCCTTAACTTTTTAAAAACCCATCGCCAAATGCCAGTCACTCTCATGATTACTCTGGTTTCTCTTCCAATCGCACTCTCATGATTCCATACTTTTATCCCTGTCAACAGATCCTTACCTTATTAAATATACTATATATGATATCAATAGCTCTGTCTTAATTTCCCTAGTAAACCCAAAATGTTTTTATAAAAGTCCATATCATCACAGCCCCAATTACATTCGTGACTAATTTCATTAACTAATTTCAAGTAGGATGAACAACAAGTAGGATGCCACTGGTGGAAGTTATTAGTATTTTGAGTTGAAGAATAACATATGTTAAATGCAAGTAGAAGAAAATCTTGGTTAAGTAGAGAAATTGAAGAAGTTGAAAAAGGGTTCAATTATTCTCATCAGTCAGGTAGTTGGAAGCCATGTTTTTTTTAATTCTTCCCCCTCTTTTATTCTTTGTATTGTAGTCTCTAGTTTGTCGTTTAAGATTTTTGTACAGTAGTTATAGTTTTATTATGTAGTTTATGTGTGTGCATTTCTGTAGTATTGAGTTTTATGCTATGAAAAACATTTCTGTTTAATAAAGACACTTTAAAAATACATTCTCACAAAATTAACTGTACTTTAGTTTGTGCCTTATGTAACATTCTACATGTAAATGATTATTTTTGAGCTGTGTGACACTGTTGGGATGACCTTTAAATCTCAGATGATTGTTAATCTATATTTGGATAGATAAAACAAAAATAAGTGTGGATTTGCCATGTGGTCTTTCATGTATGGATTGACCAACAGATCAGATTAGAATAGAATCAAAGAACCCTGAGTCCAGGAAAATGGACAGATTTCACAGTCATTAAACACACATACACAAACACCAATTATTTCTTCTTGTTTCAGTACTATAATTTAGAATGGCAGGGAATCATTTTGTGCCTGGTATTCTTTAATAACTGGGAATCGAAAATCCCTGCTTATAGTATGTATATCACTCAGGGATCTATCAGCAGCCCTGGTTACCTCCTCTGCCCATGAATTGGGAAATGTGTTTTTCATTTTTTAATTTGCATGTTAACAGAAAAACCTCCACAAAGAATACAACAATGCCTATACATCAGGGGTTGTCAAACCTTTTTATCTACTGAGCCCTTTTTGAAGCAGAAGTTTTTCATGGAGCCCCAAGAAATGTTTATATTATATTATATTATATTTATAATGTATATATATGTATATATATAATTTGACAGACAAGCCAGTCCAGTGGCAGATGGATAGAGAGTGTTTGTGTGAACTCATTCACACAGTGCAAAAAAAAAAAAAAGGAAAGGAAAGAATAATACTATATTTAAAATGAGGAACAATTTTAACCAACATAAACAGTATATCAGTGGAAGACCCCAGGGGCCATCCAGTCCTGTTCCTTCTGTCATGCAAGAAAGACACAATCAAAGCACTCTCAACAAATGGCCATCCAGCATTTGTAGTAATAATAATAATAATAATAATAATAATAATAGCGCAAATTTTAGAGGCCATCCAGTCCAACTCTCTTTTGTCATGCAGGAAAAACACAATGCGTGCCCTGAGAGGTGGGAGGGAAAAGGGCTTTGGGAGCAAAGAAGCCAGGGGAGGGGTGTGGCGAGAATAAGAGTCTGGGCAGCAGGAGAGGTAGGGGAGAAAGGGTCTGTGCCCCAGGAGGATGCTCTTGCTGCTGTTTCTTGCAGATCAAAACTTTAATTTCCTTGCATTTTTCAAGAGGAGGAAAGAGGAGGAGGCAGGAAGCAGCTTGTGCTGTGGAGCCCCTCAATATCACTTGTGGAGCCCCAAGGGCTCCACGGAGCACAGTAGACATAAACGTGCTTGGACAACATTTATATAACTAACTACCTCATCACCAACATACATTTCTATTTGAAGCACAAATCTGAAACGCACAAACACACACACGTGTGTGTGTGTGTGTGTATATATGTATGCACACAGACACACAAATAAATTACCATCTTAACAGACAATTTTGTGCTTCCCTTTTCTCAGTTACCCTATAGTTTTTTTCTTCCACCTTATCTCCAGCAAGCTATTTACTCCTACTTGTTTATATATTAACAAATAAATATCCTAGAATCATAGAATCATAGAATCAAAGAGTTGGAAGAGACCTCATGGGCCATCCAGTCCAACCCCCTGCCAAGAAGCAGGAATATTGCATTCAAATCACCCCTGACAGATGGCCATCCAGCCTCTGTTTAAAAGCTTCCAAAGAAGGAGCCTCCACCACACTCCGGGGGAGAGAGTTCCACTGCTGAACGGCTCTCACAGTCAGGAAGTTCTTCCTCATGTTCAGATGGAATCTCCTCTCTTGTAGTTTGAAGCCATTGTTCCGCGTCCTAGTCTCCAAGGAAGCAGAAAACAAGCTTGCTCCCTCTTCCCTGTGGCTTCCTCTCACATATTTATACATGGCTATCATATCTCCTCTCAGCCTTCTCTTCTTCAGGCTAAACATGCCCAGTTCCCTAAGCCGCTCCTCATAGGGCTTGTTCTCCAGACCCTTGATCATTTTAGTCGCTTTCCTCTGGACACATTCCAGCTTGTCAATATCTCTCTTGAATTGTGGTGCCCAGAATTGGACACAATATTCCAGATGTGGTCTAACCAAAGCAGAATAGAGGGGTAGCATTACTTCCCTAGATCTAGACACTATGCTCCTATTGATGCAGGCCAAAATCCCATTGGCTTTTTTTGCCGCCACATCACATTGTTGGCTCATGTTTAACTTGTTGTCCACGAGGACTCCAAGATCTTTTTCACACGTACTGCTCTCGAGCCAGGCGTCTCCCATTCTGTATCTTTGCATTTCATTTTTTCTGCCAAAGTGGAGTATCTTGCATTTGTCACTGTTGAACTTCATTTTGTTAGTTTTGGCCCATCTCTCTAATCTGTCAAGATCGTTTTGAATTCTGCTCCTGTCCTCTGGAGTATTGGCTATCCCTCCCAATTTGGTGTCGTCTGCAAACTTGATGATCCTGCCTTCTAGCCCTTCATCTAAGTCATTAATAAAGATGTTGAACAGGACCGGGCCCAGGACGGAACCCTGCGGCACTCCACTTGTCACTTCTTTCCAAGATGAAGAGGAAGCATTAGTGAGCACTCTGTGTTCGTCCACTTAACCAATTACAGATCCACCTCACCGTAGTTTTGCCTAGCCCACATTGGACTAGTTTCCTTGCCAGAAGGTCATGGGGGACCTTGTCGAAGGCCTTACTGAAATCCAGGTACGCTACATCCACGGCATTCCCC